GTCTTCGACGGGAACGGATGTCAATGATAAATTTATCTGTTAATTAATAGAAAATTACATTTAATTACCATTAACTCTTTACTGTCAATTAAGTAATTCATATCGATCATAATTTACATAAAAATCATTTTAAATGTAATTGTTGTGAAAGTTATGCGTTGTTAGTAAAAAAATATTTTACTAAGTCTTAATATTGTCTTCTGTCTTCTGTAGGTAAGTAACCATGAATATTCACAATTGTCTACTATATAGTATAAATTAAAATAATATTTTATATTTTTATATTTAAGTACCTATTGCCAAAATTGGTTCTTTACTTTTTATAATTGTATGCCTATTTAGGTTTACCTTATTATATTATTTTATTTATATAGATAAAAATGCACTTTTACCAATAAACATTGTAAATAAATAAATAAATAATATAATCTGTAATTTATTCTAATATAATAATAATTATGATTAATTTACTACTTATATGTATATATATTATATGTTACATTATACAGTTGTGCAAGTATAGATACAGATATTTTCAAACATGCTCAACCCCCCCCCCTCCCGCTACATTGTGTTTTTTCAATTTTTTTTCGGCAAATATTTAGTACAAAATTTATACGAATTTTTTTTTGTATGATAAGAACTACAATTTATATGAATTTATTTAGGAAGTTATACGAGTGTCGAGAATTTGAGTGGGGGGGCAATAGAAACGTTTCCCCCATTTCCAAATCTACCTACTTATTTCTTAAAAATGTCAACGTGATGTTTTAGTACGTATTTCCACAACCGTTCGTAAAAATTTTCAAAAATCTCTTCCAGACTTAAAACACATTTTACTCATAATATGCCCGTTTCCCCACAAATACACTTTTCGCACAAAATTCTTATGCAGTCATGCAGATATTTAATACTTTTAACATCAATACATCATCTATTTTGGTAACTATCAAGGCTGGGTAAGTTAATGATATTTTTTAACTCAGTTAAATTAAGTTAATTATAATTTTTTCAATTAAATTAAAAATTATGTTAGTAAACATTTTTAATACATCCATTAAGTTTAAAAGTAAGTTAACAAATACCATTTACTTAACTTAACTTCAATTAATAAATAATAAGTTAAATTGATAATAATAAAAAAAAATAAATAAAAATGAAATTATTAGGTATTATTTAATAAAATAAGTGATAATCACTTGAATAGTAATTATCATTCGTAGGTAGGTATATTACTATTCAAACAATCTACGATAATCATTATTGAGCTAATAAAAAATAATTAATAACTTATTCTTATCGCTTCATTAGATCAATTGTATGTTTGGCAAAAAACACGTCTAAAATACTATGTGACGCGCGTGTTAAGGTCGCTCCACACTATGCATGTTTCGCGTTTCATGTTTTCACGTTTTCGTAGAATTTCGTGAAGTGTGTATAGCTTTTTCACGAAATTTTTTTTCGTGAAAACGGTTTCGTAGTGTTTCGCGAACGAGGCGGTAAAATTGACGAAATCAAAGGACACGAAAATATTTTTCGTACTGTTTCATGTCGTTTCGTTGTATTTTGTTGTTTTTCGTGTAGTTTCGCGTTTCTCATGTAAACAGGAAGTTCATAATTATTATCACTACGAAACGTGAATCACGAAACGCGAAACGCGAAAAATGCATAGTGTGGAGCGACCTTTAGACAAAAACAGAAAATCATAGTATCGAATCCCCTTAATAGGTATTATGATTTATGAATATAATTCGTGACATCGTGGGCTATAAATTATAATTGATGTCATCATATGGGAGGCTAATATTACCCCGGGTATTACCCCTATATTAATATTTATAAGTACCTAACTTATTAATACAATAGAATAGTTTTTATCATTAAACATAAATACGAAGTTTTTTGTAAATATTTCTTATTTTTTTCGGATAATATTTTCTATTATATTCTGCGAACTTATACTGATTATTAATCTAATTTATTATTATAAACCCAAAACCCGTAATAAACAGAATATTTTTCTGGATAATAGGAATATTCAAACTTAACTTAACTGGGAAAATATTGAAAAGTATGAGTTGATTTTAAGTTAATGTAGAGGCAAATGATTAATGAGTTAAAGTTACCTAAGTCAATTAAAACACCGTATATCATCTATAATAGGTACTATATAACTCGATATATTTTAATAAAATAACTAATAATTAATTATAGATGATCACCTGATGTGGTACACTAGGTTTTCGCCCACGTTTGATATATAGAATGATATTCGATTACACGTACGTAATATCTGTTTATAGATAAATGAGACGTTTACCACGAACACAGAAACAAAATGAAAATGGGAAGGGTTATGTTTAAAAAGGATATGTATATGTATACAATATGGCCAATACTCAATATGTACCCATGTCATTTTGATATAATATATCAAAATATTTTTTTAATTTTATTATTTTTCATGTCTACTGGAATAGTAAAAAAATACCAGGGAGGGTTTGAATATCCCCTCCGTACACTACTCATAATATAATATATTATAATATACAAGTACATATTATGTACCTATAATAAATATTATAATTTGGTAATTATTAAAATGTTGATGCTGTCTAAAATTGAAAAATCAATTATCAAATACATAATTAATTAAAAAGAGGGGAAATTATGTAACCGATCTACTGTACTGTAGCTACTTTTGACGAGTAAATCACTAGCATAAAATGTAATTTTTTCAAAAATGTAAAAAATAAATCATGTTTCTTGATAAAAAAAAAACGATATAATGTAAAATATTTTAATTTTGCTATTATACTTTTTTCAATTCTTATTATAACAGCTAGATGTTAAATGTTATTGACTATAAAAGTTTACTATATTGGTTATAATATTATAACCAATATCAAATTCAGTTTTTCAAACACTTTTAATTTGGTAACCTTTTGGATTAATAATTTTCCCAAACATTTATTTATTCTTGGTTCTAATCAAAAGCTTTACAACAAATAAATAAACATAATTTGTATATACAATTAATACCTTCTTATTACTTTGTACAAGTATACAACATACATGTATACAAATAAATGTATTTATATTAACAATTATATACTACTTAACTTTATACTATAAAACTAAATGTATTTTAATTTTTAACAATATATTATATTATACATAATATATCACAAACAAAAAAATTTAACTAATGATAAATACATTGATCGCTCAGAATCTAAAAAAAAAACCCTTCAAAAGTATTACTGCTTTGTAATTCCTTTTAAGGGGCCCGGTGCCAGTTTTTCATATTTTCCGAAATTCAATAAACTTTTATATTTTAGTTGCCACCTTAATTATGATACTTTTCTACTAATCTACAAAAAACTATTAGGTATATCTAACAAAATTACTTCATGGGAATAACTCTCAGGCCTTGTAGAATTGTCTGATTTTGATAACTATTTTTTTTTTATTTAAAGGAAGACTTCCTACAAGCCGCATCAAATTCCGATTTTTATTTTTATTTAAAATAAAAGTATAATATAATTTATAAAAAACGCATGAAATCGTATTATTTTTGAAAAAATATTATAAAGTTTGAGATTAAAATATTGAAAAACTGAGTTTGATGCGGCCTAAAGAATATCACACTCTATTAGTTACCTAAAAAAAAAAATATCAAATTTACAAAATTACATTGGCACCGGGTGCTTTAACTTTTGATTCCTGTTAATTTGCTCACATAGCATTTATTTTGTTAATAGATTTACACACAATCTGCAATTTTGATGATAAAAGTTCAAAATATAACAATTCTATTATAGGTAATTTTTAATTATTTACTAATTATATTTATTTTTAATTACCTACTTATTTATCTATTTTTTATTTAATATAAAATTGTATTTTAAATAACATAATAATACTTATAATAATTTACTTAATTAATACTATAGTTTTATAGCAAAGGATTGTTTTACGTTATTGATAAGTAGTCGAGTAAGGCTCCTACCAGAGGCATCTACGTATTTGAATACTCAAGTAAAATTAGTATTTGAGTAGAAATACAAATACTTTAAAAAAATATTTATATAATTTTAAATTTTTAAAAAATATTTTTTTTTTTACCTTATAAATCGACTGAACTGATTTTTATGTTTTACATTAATTGTATAAGCATATATTTTATACCATCATACCGCATCATTTAACAGAACTTTAAAATACTCAACTGTTTTCTTTGTCAAAAATTTTGATTTCCTGTTGAGTATAATTCACAATAAAAAAATATTATTATATTCTCAATTTTTATTTTTATTTTACGCTGTCAAAATTAAAGTACAAAATATCTAAACTAAAAAAAAATATTTAAGTATTTGATTTTAAATACAGATACTTTAAGAAAAAATTAAAAACACTTTGTTGAAGTCTGTTTTCAAAAGTATTTAAAATACGTAGTTGAGTACTTTAAAGTAATTGAATATTATTATTATAGGAATTAACAACACTGAATTTACATAAGAATACGTTTTACTGTTGATAAGTAGTCGAGTAAGGCTCCTACTACTTACTGTTGATAAGTAGTCGAGTAAGGCTCCTACTACAATAGTAACAAAATAATACATTTTACTGTTGATAAGTAGTCGAGTAAGGCTCCTACTACAATAGTAACAAAATAATACATTTTACTGTTGATAAGTAGTCGAGTAAGGCTCCTACTACTTACTGTTGATAAGTAGTCGAGTAAGGCTCCTACTACTTACTGTTGAGAAGTAGTTGAGTAAGGCTCCTACTAAATTAGTAACGTAAGAATACATTTTACCATTGAGAAGTAGTCGAGTAAGGCTCCTACTAAATTAGTAACATAAGAATACATTTTACCATTGAGAAGTAGTCGAGTAAGGCTCCTACTAAATTAGTAACATAAGAATACATTTTACTATTGAGAAGTAGTCGAGTAAGGCTCCTACAATAATAGTAAAAGTAAATTTAATTTTAAAATGAGTGTGTTAAAAAAAGTTGATGAAATAGTGCATTTCATTCAACAAAAATATCCAACAATGGAATTTGATGGCATAGGTGTATCTCACGAAGCAATAAGTGATATATGTAATGTAATATTAAAAAAAGGTAAATGCAATAAAGCTAAAAAAAATTTAGTTATGGCATTGAACAATGCAAACTCAGCTTTGAGGAAATCATTAGGAGCAAAAACAGAAAATAATACAAATTTGCGTAAACAGCTTGAAGATAATGATTACTCGAGAAATGATTTTTGTACATATACAACAGAAATTGCTAATTTAGTATGCAAGTTATTAAAAGTTAAATGTGATCGTAGAAATCAAATCAGAGTATTCAAACGTTGTCAGTTAAGTTTTAACGAAAATGAAGCTTGTACAAGTTCTGATGTATCATCCCAAACGAACATGTTAGATAAAGATAATCATATAAATGAAAGTTCAGCAGTATGTGTCAAGAGAAAACTATTTATAGACAGTTCTCCTCAAAAAGAAAACAATTATAAATCCGATACAATTGTAGATGAGTTGGACATTGGTTTGAATAAAAATGATCTTGAAATCAAAGAACATAGTTTTATTAACAACAAGCCTGGTTTGCTTAATATTTCTATTCAAATTGATGATGAATGCTGTAATTCAACAGAAGAACTTTATGTCACCGAGGAAATGTTAACCACCCCCAAGCGTAAATTAAATGTTTCATTTACTGGAGATTTGTTTACCCCAGTAAAGATATTTCAATCTATATCTGTCTGTAGTGTACCAGAAGAAATTGATAATAATAAGACTACCGTTTCTATTAAAGAAATTACTGATGTTACTGAGGAAAATATGTTAACCACCCCCAAGAGTAAATCAAATGTTTCATTTACTAGAGATTTGTGTACCCCAGTAAAGAGATTTAAATCTATATCTGTCTGTAACACACCAGAAGCAGATCGCAAAGCATTGCCTAAAAACTCAAAGAATGTATATCCCTTAAAAGTAAGGTCCTTTAATGAAGGCAATAAAATGGAAAGGGTGATTTCTTACAAAAAGTGTAATTTTGTGGAAGGAACTATTAGCTTACAGGATGAAGAATTGAAGCAAATAGTCGATAACTCAATGCAAAAAAATCTTGTCGTTTCAAATGAAATAAATGATTTGTTACGTGAAAAATTTGAAACGGTAAATAACTCTTGTGTATTGACCATCAAGAATAAAAATATTACCAAGAAAGGATTAACATGTTATGGTGTATGTCGACATGAATCTTGTAAGCAGTTTAAACTTAAGGTGGAGAAAAAATCAACAGAAAGTTTGGCACAAATAACAGTTCTGAGTAACAGCCACAATTACAGCCACAAAGGAAAACTGACTACATTCTTGAAAGGAAGAAATCGACAAATACAAAAACAAATGTCTAAGTACTGCCCACCGATGACTTTACGACAAAAATATATTTTAAAAGCATCTCCGAGTAAACTTAAGCGTGGTAACTTGTGTAACATCAGGTCTGATCGCGTGTATTATAAAGTGTCTCATGAACAAAAGAGTCTTGATGATCGAGCAGCCGACGACAGAATCGATATGCATTTATTGAAAGATAATAATTCAGAATTTATTCAGTATGTATCTGATCCAAAAGAGAAAGATTTTGAAACGTATTTATTTAGTCAAGAACAAATAGACGTTTTAAGAAAAATAAGATGTTTTACGATTCATGTCGATGCGACTGGAGGGGTGGTGAGAGAAACTACAAGAGATCCAACACTATTCAAAACAGGAAAAAGAAAAGAGAAATTATTATTGTATTATGCAGCTGTCATTGTGTGCAATAAGAGGATAATTCCAATAGCAGAATATCTGTCGACTACACAAACTGCTAGTGCGATAACAAATTGGCTAACAGAGTTTCGAAAATTCTATGAACAACAATGTGGTACAAAGTTCACAGCACACGTAGTCAGTGACTTTTCTACAGCAATATTAAAAGGGTTTGTGAGAGCATTCAACGAATGTAACGAGGTCGTTGAATATTTGAATAAATGTTATGAGTTCATGTATGAGGGGAAATTGTTTAATTGCAATGCACTGATAAGTCTTTGTTGTTGTCATTTAATCAAAAATATCTCCGACGATGCTCATAAATATTATAAAGGAAATGGAAAGAAGATGACCAATGGCTCTTTGGCATGCTTGGCAACTGCGTGTATCTCTCCAGCTTTCAACATAACCACCACGGAATGTCTGGACAAATGGTTCACTGCAGTTACAACGGTGTTGTTGTCACCCAGAAAGACTGAAGATGTGGATGATGCCATGGAGACCTTGAAGCAGCTCAATGATGGAAATCCAAGTAGTCTAGTTGATGATCTAATCACAAAACAAAAAAATGTTACATTAGATGAACAAATAAGAGATGCTAAGACGTTTTACCGGTACAAAGATTCCAAATTTTTGTCCCGCTTTGAAAATATAGTTGATCGGGTAAAAGAAACATTAGAAATGTGTCCTAGTTTTGAAGAAAATCCATTGTATAGCGTTGAATTTCACAATGATATCATGGGGTCTATCATTCCGGTGATTCCAATGTGGACAGGCGTGATGCGGTTCAAAGTATATGGGTCCACAGACAGAGCAAGCAATGCTCCAGCAGAGAGTTGGTTTGGAGATTTAAAAACCAACAAAAAATGTCGGCGAATGAAATGTGGAAGATTTGTTCAACTTACTAGAAGTATTATATTGAGTAAATGTAAAGAAGTACTGCTAGATATACCTTCAAATTATTGTTCACTTCCTCCGGTCCAAAATAAACAAAAGAAAACTGCAAAAAAAGAATGTACACCATTTATTAGTTTGGTTTCGTCATCATCTGATGACAACGAGGAAAAAGAACATTGGGGACCTAGAAAGAAAAAAACGGGTTTCTACTTCCAGGGTCATTTAAAAGCTGCAACAAAGAAACTTCAGACGCAAATAGTTATAAAGCCTTCATCCCCGATAGATAATATAAAAGATGATAGGATTTGTATGACACCGAATGTAAATTTGCTCTTACTTGATTCCCAAAAAACAGAGGACGAAATAGTAACTCCAAATACAAGGGCATTATCAGAATCTTTTGTTTCTATAAAAAGTTACAAATCTCCAGTAGATGGTCTACGGTGCAAAATGGATTTATACAAAAACAGATTACCAAAGGATAAAAATTATTATGGCCCTGTTTTGAAGAAAGACGGAACACGATTAGATTATATAGTCGGATGTTATTATAGTGTTACAGACATAACTAAGTGTTATGATTTATGTTTCAGTAGCTTTGACTCAATATCAATTCATGAGATTGAAAAAAAAATGTGGCTAGATAATTATGTTATTGAGATAGCTTTGGGCGTAATGAGAGAGAAATATTGCGAGTTTAAGAATAAAATAAAAATATTGTGCTGTGAAATAACGTCTTATTTAAATAGCAATATTTCAGATATGGATATTATAATTGTTCCAGAAAACTGCTTACTTGTAATGCCATTGCAAGTAAGAAGTAACCACTGGGTGATTATGTTTGCAGACTTTGAAAATCATAAATTCTATTTTTTTGACCCATATGAAACTATGGAATATAATAAATGTAGACATAACTTTGTGAATATATTAGGTCAGCTGAAAAAAAATCATGTGTATGGAGAGGTAGGAAAGGTTTGGCCGAAGTTGGATTTTCAAAAATTTTCTAAATATCCCAAACAACCACACACTGATTTTTATAACTGTGGAGTTTATGTGTTGTACTTTGCAGAGTGCATATTAAAAAATAAGTTTGAAAACGTTAAATTCAATGAAGCATTCTGCCCAATAGTGTATAGAGAGGTGTTAAAAGATCTATTGTTGGAAGAATCTGATTTCATGAGGGATATCTGTTTGTATTGTGGCCGTACGGATAAACAACACAGACATATAAAAGAGGAGAATGTCGATTGGGTTCAATGCGATACATGTAACAGATGGATAATAGTACAATGTGTGAAAGATGCAGAACAGATATTAGATATTGATGGTAATTTTGAATGTCTTTTGTGTATATCCTATTCAAAAAGATTACTAAGTAAGTATTGATGAGAAAATTAAAAAAGTAAGTATAATATACATGTTGTAATTAGTTTAGGATAATTGAAAAACAAATAAAATAAGTGGAGTAGGCCTAAGTTGGGAAACCACTAAAATAAAAACGCGCCAAAATGCAGTACCTCCAGTTTTGTTGAATGCAATGCTAAGGTGGTGTGGAAATCTGTTAAATTGTATAATTTCTGAATGCACTAGTATATATCAAATTTTCATAACTGTTGAAATACAATATTTATTGTATTATTTATTTTTTATTTACACCACATTTAACTCAACATCTAATCTAAAAACAAAAAAAATTATAATACATGTATATAATATATAATATTTAATTAGTTATTGTTATTACCATTATTGTTTTTATATAGAACTATGACACTTCTAATACACTGTTTCATAACCAATATGATAGTAAACAGATGATCCAACCCTTTTAGATAATCATAATGTGGTCCAACTACCAACTAATGCGCAACGACAAGTATCCAATAAACATCAACATATTTTGGCAACCCAACATAATTATATTGTTTAATTGGGTACCTTAAAATTAAAATACATAATAAAAAACAATTACAATTGTTACAATTCAATGTAAAAATAACAATAATTTTCAAATACTTTCAGTATGATCAATGATGATCTGTTGAACAATATCAAAATGGATTATATTATTTCCTTTTTGTTTGTTTAGAGATTTCTTCATACAATGCATCTTCCAATTCATGATAAGATTTGACAAAAAAAAAAACAGAAGACTGTTATGCAATAATTGCATAACACATATTTACTAGTTTAAGAAATAATTATAAATAACATATATTAGACTTATTTACTTATACTGAGTGGCATTTTTTAAACATTCCTTCTTCCATAAATTCATTGAACTAATGCAATTATACGACATTTGGCAAATTAGTAAAAAAAAAATAATAATCCTATAAATAAAAAGACGTAATTTAGGTACCTAGTTATTATAAAAAATATTAATAAAATCAAAATTTAACATTACCTTTAGTGTTCTTCTTTTGCAGTTAGTTATATGGTTAATATAGTTAATATGGTGAAGTAAAATGATGGATGACCGCTTGCTTTCAACTGATTGAGGTATTTCAGAAATGCAGAAGTAAAGAAATAAGAAGTAGTAAGTAATGACTTATGACTATGTAACAAACTTGTAAGTTATAACAAATTAACTGCTTAGTGCTTAGTGTAAAGTGTAAACACTAAATAGTAAATTACCTAATATTATAATAATAAATGGTAATCTATGATCAAAATAAAGAATTACTCCGATAAGTGATAACTCCGTAATGTTATCAATACATACTGATAAAAAAAACTATTGAACAGTGTTACCCTAGAATAGATTGAAACCAATTTTATTAAAAACCTTAACAATTTATTAATGCTTAGTATTTTAGTAGGTATTAATGCAAAGTATCTAACTCGCCATTATTGAGTTTCAAAACCATTAATAAACCTTTATTAAAAAATGTAGGCTCAATTTATTTTGAATGGTTTCACAACAATAAAATATGTCAACAGTAAAAATATATCCATCAAATTATCTCCAATATGAAATAATATCTCCGTCAAATTATCTTCAATATATAAAAAGTATAAAAGCAGGTTTTTATTGTCACCTAACCTGGTATAGTCACTAGTTTCTATTATGTTTTTAAAATAAAATTAAATAAATAAAAGTGTCAATAAGTTATAAAATAAAAATAACAACATGATAATATGTAAACATTTAATTTTAGTATAATTGGATTTAGTTTATTGAATGGAATGTTTTATTAACATGATGATGATCAGGTCAGTTGAATTCGGTGTGATATGAACCGTAGACATTTCAAACTCTCATCAACGTCCATAATACACTACCTATGTAAAAAGTAAAAACATGCACATGCATATAATTCCGGGCTCTACTAATAACCATTATATAATAGTAATTAACAAATAATTTGAATTGTATGTACCTTAAAACCGTACAGCGTAACTGCTTAGCGTTTTGTATTATAATATAGAACAATATAATACTATTTAATTATAAAAAATCATGTAGAAATATATAATTTCGAACGTTAGAATTTTTTTTAATAAAAACGTTAGTTTGCACTAATTGCTCATATATTACTTTGAGTATTGTATATGTATGTAATAAACTAATAAATGAAGAAATTGAACAACGGCAATAGATTTTTTGATAGTTGAATAAGTTATAAATAAAGAAATTGAACGATGGCAATAGATTTTTTCATAAGCAAGATTTATATGGCCATCGGGTAGGCAATAAACACACAATTGAACGTTAGCAATACATTTTCAGGATTGAGATAGGCAACTTTGTCTACAAATTGACGAATAGCAATAGATTTTGTGAACCCCTGAATTCTCTTATCAAATATTGCTAACAGAACGTACATCTTCAATCTTAGATCATAGTATATGATCTAAGACTTCAATATTGATTCATTTGAATCATTCGATTAGGTATTTGAAATTTGTACGGAAATAGTAAATACAGACTACTATACATTCGTACAGTGTTGTATTCATACGTTTTAGTAAAAAGTTGCCATGCATAAGTGTATTCTTTTTAGTAAGACATCCAAAGTATCGCCTCGCCATATTACCTTAATTTTCATTTGTAAGTATTATTTTCTAGTTGTACTGATAATATTTCTTAATAATATGGTGCCAGTCTAATTTGTTCACAAATATAGATTTACAAAAAATGAAAATAGATGGAAATAAATTTTCAAATTAAATGATTACCCAATATCTATCTGGAGCAGAATCTGCGGTAATCATTTCACAATCAGTAATTCTAAACAAGGCTCAGTATATGTAGATATTATTATGGCCAGAGGCTGTCACAAAACATAATCCAAACCTCATGTCTGTTTAGAGGAGTAAAATAAACAATATAAAATAAATTTTAATAATTTACAGCAACACTGGTACCACTCTGAGCACGACTAGTAAATCATCTAAGAGGTAAAATATTTTAATATTAATTAGGTAGGTATCGAGGTAGGTATTCAGATATTTTTTACAACTTTATATTTTCAGAAAATTATATTTCACCAACGATGAATTTGAAGAAAACGAACAGACAAATAAAGGATTTGGAGACGTTACAGTCGATGATTTTAATTCACTCAGAAAAGCCTTAGAAACTTAATAATGTCTAATTCACACACACACTTATATAAGTATATTACTCAAGTTCCTATTTTAAATGTTTGCCAAAGCCAAAAGTTACTTAGTGATTTATCATTTTTAGTTCATACAGTGGATTATACTTATTATGGTTTTCAAAACTGAAATATATGATGTACCACATACAAGGAACTATTAAGTTGAGCCAATGTGTTGACAATTTTCAGACGTTGACTTTCTTGAAGATAATTATATACATACCATATTGGAGCGAGTTATGAAACTTAAAGGTGAGAATATTGTTTATAGGTTTTTATTTTAAAGCTATTTTACTTACTAACGTATGCACCTGTTCACGGGACACATTGTATAATATCTAATTGTGTGCGTGGACATAAATTTGTATATCGAAAGGGCTCAGCCTGTTTAGTCAAAATAAATTCTGTACACCATACAATTTTTAAAACAATTTAACTCGTTTTTAGCTAACTATTAGGGATAAGACATTTTGGTGGAATTACATAGAAATTATTAGTTTTTTTTTTTACTGTAATTTTAACAAATCCCATACCTAATTGATAAAAATTATGATAATATATACGGTTATCGACTACATTTTTGTTTCTAAATAAACAAAAAGTTATTTTAGAACTCGTCACTATTGATCTGATTCTTATGACAATTGGATCTGCATTTCGAGACATTGCAAGTAAGTGGCAAGTTGATACAAAATAAAGTTCTATTGAACTATATATGAACATCTAAAATTTCATATAGGTACAAACTAATAATTTGTACACCCTAATTATTGGCATAGGTTAATATGAATTGTTTATTTTACATATAATATTACATTTATTTTTAACTAAATTTTTACAGTAAGTTGAGAAATATCTACTAGAGAATACAAATATATTAATGATTTATTCTTCAAGGTACATGATTATAATATTAAGTAAATAGAAAAAACTAATATCTAATATAATGTATTATATTTTAGAAAATTGGGTTGTGAATATGGATCTGTATTATTTTGTACTACTGTTATTTTACTTCAACATATCCAAAGAGATTCAGCTTTAAATTATTACTCACATATTATTATTGATGAAATACATGAACGTGACACCAATAGTGATTTTACATTAACTATTCTCGAGAGAATCATACCTGTTGTAATTACATGCATATTATGTTTCTTGCTATCATAGTATTTTGTTTAAATTGTACTAATTTTTTTTTTTTGCATACTGTTAATCCAGAGACCTCATATTAAAGTTATATTAATGCTGCAGCATTTTCCAAGTATTACAATGACTGTCCACCTTTGAATATACAGGGATTCACATATCTAGTTGAAGAAATTTTCCTTGAAGACATTTATACATTAAAAAGGTTTGTTAAATTTTTTATCATTGCTAATATCTAATAATTTCATTTATTTCTGCTGAATACAGGTTTAGATATTTTCCTAAAAAACCAACACAAAGATCTCGCAAAATTAAACCTGGTGATCCCTTCAGTGAATTTGTAATTCCTTATGTAAAGTAAGTATGCATGTAAAAGATATATTAAAAAATATTTACGTACATATTGTAAACAAATAATCAAATAACAAAATCTTTTGTAGTGAAATGAAGAGATTCAAAAAATATCCTTTTGCAATATTGAATTGGTTGAAAATTCAACATTTGAAGATACAGATTATGAATTGATTTTGGAACTCATATATTACATTTGTAACAATAAAGATTATGGTGCAATACTTGTGTTTCTTTTTGGATATAATCAAATATCAAAACTGACTAAAATTTTAAAAGACTAAGGCTTTGGTAATACATGTTAAGTATATTGTATAAATGTTGAATTTCATAAAAATTTTGATATCTGTTTATAAATATAATTTTTTTTATTTTGTAGCTCGGTACATACTGATTCCTTTGCATTCCATGTTACCTACTGTATCTTAAAATCTGTTTTTAAATCGCCACCTCGGGGTAAGCATTAAATATAAAAATTCTTTAAATGCATTGTTGTCTAATGTTAGCATTATAATAGGTGTTTGTAAGATCATATTATCCACAAACATAGCAGAGACTTCAGTTACCACAGACGATGTAGTTTATGTTATTAATAATGGCCGGATGAAATTAAAAGGATTCGATGCAGAAAATAACATTGGATCTCTTAATGAAGAAAGGGTGAGCCTAGCTAATTGTAGACAACGTCGGGGTAGAGCAGGTCATTTGAGACCAGGTATTTGTTATCATTTGTATACAAGAGGACGTGAAAGATCATTTAATCATTATGTACTGCCTGAATTGATATTGATATGATGAAATTGCAGGTGGATCAAGCTGCAGAATTTAAAATTAAAATTATGGAATCTCATTCAGCATTAAAAAAAAGAATTAGAAAGAGTTAAAATGGAAAAACAAGATGCATTAGAAGGAAAAGACGAGTATACTGAAATGGCGGAAACTTTAGAAATGGCAACTCAATTTAAAGATCTGGTTAATGAATTACGAGAACAAAATCAAGTTCTACAAACTCAATTAATTAGAGAATCTGCATAAAAAGATGAAGTTCGGTCATCAATACCAGAAATGCTTGACTTTAAGGTTAACTATAAATTAAAATATTTTTTATATGGAAAAATAATTAAAAATATATTATTTATTAGAAAATGTTTGCTGAAACTAAAGCTGA